AATCCTGATTTTGATTTTGGTTGAAAGTTGTTTGGAGTTCCAGATATTTTTCAATTGTAGAAATGCAGGCCTTGCTTTGCCAATCCGTGCCCTCACTTCTGCATCGGATCCACCTTGATTGTCGATGATGCTGCCCAGATATGTAAAGGTGTTAACGTTCTCCAAGGCATCTCCGTCAAGAGTGATTTGGTTGGTTCATGTTGTGTTGCATCGGAGAATTTCGCTTTTTCCTTTATGTATGTTGAGACCTACTGCTGCAGAGGCTGCTGTCAATAAATTTTATGAATTCGATTCAGCTTTAATCTTGAATATGTTATCTTAAACGAAGGATTCTAAAACATTGATCAAATACTGTCTCAACCATCTTATAGTGTGTTTCATTGGAGAGCGTATCTAAACCACTGATATGCAGACTTGTCCTAGGGCTACAGATCCTAATCAACAACCATATCTCTTTTGTACTAATTCACTTCTTTTCTCATACAAATTAAAATTGATAAATATGATTAGTCGAAATATAATGTAATTTTAACTGTCAAATTTGATCTGTCGAATAATTTTCGAAAACAAACTTAATTTCATTCAGTAGCTCTTAAAAATAGAACTCACAATCTATATTGCAACTGTTATTTCTATTTGTTTAGGATACCGATATAAAATCACCATTTAATGAAAGTTTTATATGAATCTTGCGAAAGTGGACATGATTACATTGAGAAAACTAAAGTCATTATTTAAAAAAGTGATTATTGCAAATGCTAAAAAACAGTATTTTTGTTATAAATCACTGTTAGGAATAATTAAATTATTGAGTTTACTAATTAATGATGAGTTCGCTCAGCCTAACTGTCACTCAGTCAGTCAGTTGCAACGTAGAACTTCGTACGTAAGTACATCAGTTCATGTTGCCATACCACATCAGCACAGAGATATAATTGTCAATTCAAATCCAATAGTAGAAGAGGTAGTAAAGGTATTAGAAGTAATCGCAGAGGTTAGGATTAGAAGATATTTTTCAAGAAGTATGATTCAGTGAGAAAAGTTTAGAAAGTCAAAACTAGAGAGGTTGAAGAATCCAGAAGATTAGGATTTGAGGGAACACAGAGGATAAATGCACCGGCGCCATTGCGAACGATTTTGAGCCATCTCATTCAAGGTCTCTAACCATCGATTATTATCATCTCGCGGACCCCAACCAGGTAGTCGACAACTACCGACATGGCTAAGTTCACTCGTCAATGATTTCATGAATTTCTGCCATGTTTTGGTTTGGCCGCCCCTAAATTTCTTCCAACCTACTCCTACACTACAAAACAAAGCTCGTCGAGACAGTCGGTGGTTAGGCATACGTAACACATGTTCCAACCACTTCAAATGATGAAGTTTCATTACTTCATCTATTGATCTGCCATTCTTACCTAGCACCCGTTTCCTAATAACAGCCTTGCCTAACTAGTACCTTGAATAACCATGAACCAAGATCAGATATCTTAACATCTGTTAACCTGCCTACATTCTGTTTTAATCCTCCTCTCATAATCGTATTTTAGAACAAAAGAACAGCTAACCGATTTACTTTTTGATTGTTATGAGATTTAAACTCACATGATGATAGGAATTACCTGGAAGACTACAAAGGATCACTCATAAACAAATTACAATCCATTACATAACTATGTTATTTGTAGCACAGAACTAAATTACAAGTTGCGTGATTAATTAACTCTATTTTATGAACAGTTATACAAGTGTAAACAGTTAAATGATAATATAAAAAATACCAGTACCTAGATGCGTAATAATTATATAAGAAAAATATGTACAATAATGCACCAAAGACTAGTTCATACAGTGCCAACTCTTTTGATTGATTCTTCAGATTGATTTTAACTGAGTATTCAAGTGAATTCACTGATATGCGTAAATAAACATTTGTGTGGCTCACTGAGAAAGTTTATCGTTGACACAATCGAGGATAATAAGATGGCTAGAAAAAATGATGCTAAGCCAAACAGCATAACATGTTTTTGTGAAAAATTTCATCAAATAAACTTTGGCACATAAATAATTAACTCCGCCAGTAGAACCTTCGGGGCTACTGCCGGTCCTAAGCCCGGGTAAAGGAGGAGGGTTGGACATGGGGTTGGCGACCCCATTCCGTCGAAAACTAACTTGCCGAAAAAACGCTAACCAGAAAAAATAATTCAAACGATCTTAACTCTGCCCTCACAGTTGGAAGAAGAATTATGACGTCACGTGATGAAAGCCGAGTTCCCTCGGAAGTCACGAGGCCGATGCCTCTTCTCACAACCAGAGCAACCATTTTTTAGTTACATGGAACGTTCGTACATTGTGGGAGACTGGAAGACTATTTCAAGTTGCGGCAGAAATGAAAAGATACAACCTCGAGGTGCTCGGCATCAGTGAAACGCATTGGACACAGGTAGGACAACTGAGACTAGCTTCAGGGGAACTGCTGTTATACTCTAGTCATGAAGAGGAAAATGCTTCACATACACAAGGAGTTGCACTGATGCTGTCCAAACATGCACAAAAGGCACTGATAGGATGGGAATCTCACGGACCCAGGGTCATTAAATCATCCTTAGAAACAAAGAAGGAAGACATTACAATGAACGTCATCCAATGTTATGCACCTACCAATGACTACAATGACGACGTTAAAGATCAATTCTACGAAAGGCTGCAGTCAATCGTCGAGAAATGTTCACCAAAGGATTTGACGATTCTTATAGGAGGCCTCAATGCCAAGGTTGGAATGGACAACACTGGATATGAAGACATCATGGGATGACATGGACTGGGAGAAAGGAACGAAAATGGTGAGAGATTTGCAAACCTATGTGCTTTCAACAAACTGGTCATCGGTGGCACAATATTCCCACACAAACGCATTCACAAAACCACATGGATTTCACCCGACCATACTACTGAAAACCAAATTGACCATATCTGAATCAACAAAACGAGAAATAGAGAAAGATATGAAAGGAATGAAGAAACATTGGACAGAACTGGAGAGGGAAGCCCAGGACAGAGTGGTTGGAGAACACTGGTGGGCGGCCTATGCTCCATCTGGGTAGCAGGTGTAAGTAAGTAATTACCAAACACCTTGTTTATACCAATTGAGTCAATGTATTTATCTGTTAAAACTAAGTAATAGTAAAACAAATCACTTACATTTTAACTGATTCTATCAAAAATACGTAAAAAAAAACTGGTCATTGTAGAAGAATGTTTTCTAAAAATAGGCATAAACATTATTCCACTTTAAATATGATAACTGATGATCAATATTCAGTTGTGATTGGTAGTTCAATGAAGAAAATACACAGAATATTGTACTAGTCTCCTCCATTTTGGCCTACATGATAAACAGTTTTGAAAAAATTAAAGAATAATTTACCTAGCAATCGTTTGGGATTAATTATTTATCAAATACATTTGGACTACATCATGTTTATATAAATATTTTACAAAATCACCTCGAGAAATTTATATGACACAGAGTAAATTCTTGTAGTTTCACATTTTTGTGTAGCGTGTAATCATTAAACATTACATTTCTACTTCATATTGTGCAATATTTGAAATTACAATTACACTTACTGTGAAGTAATAAATTGTTTAAACGTAAAAATAGATCGATTCATATATAAAAAGTTAAAATTTTAGAGAAATTGTATATGTTCTGTTAGATTTTACACATTAAGCTGATTGAATTAAAATAAGTATTATTTGAAGAATTTCAGAACTTAGAAAGTTGAAGAAAAATAGTGTTTTCTTTTAAAATTCTTAGACAATCTTTCAACTAGCATTCGAGTGACATAGAATACTCGTTTTAGTGACCTGACCATATGATTCTTAGCAGTTCGTCAGCTTGGAATATTAAATTATTCTTTGATAAATTATTAAGTTCCTAAAATTACACTTGATTTGCTCAAAACTTCTTTTGACAAACTACTTAAAGGGCAAATATTATCATTAAAACCAGAATTCCTCTGTTCTCCGTGGAGCTATTCTAAAGGTACGAAGCAAAAGAATGGGTCTCTTTCCTTTTAGTGCTTATAGGATTGGGGTGGAGTTTTGTTCTCTGAGCTGGATGTTTTGGTTGTGAAGCTTCCGTTGTTCTTCTGAACAACATCATCAACACAAACTTCAGATGTAAGTGAAGTATTCGAATTTCTCCACGTTTGACCTGTAGCTTGTTCTATTTACCTCGATCTTGATTGGTTGCTGTTGACCTTAAGTCTGACTTAAGGTCAGAAGAACAATGAAAGCTTCATAACCAAAACATCCAGCACCACTACAATCATCCACCTGAGCTACAAATTTTCTCCACCATCTCGAAGTGTTTATAAGAATAAAAATATGATGACTCATCGTTTGCCTATCCTTTGTAGACAACCAATGGATACATTTCGTTAGCTATTCTTGGGCAGTATAAGTCGTTCATCAAGAAACAATATATATGCAGCGACTAAACATGACTACCAATCAGACCTTAAAGTCATTATAACCGATTAGGTGTGCTGTCCGATTGTTTTATGAGGTATACAACTAAATTTACTTGAACTCAATAAAGCATGATGATCAGTCATTTTAACCCTGTATAAGTAAGTCATTGTTTACAAATATCTGTGTGGCCGGTTAGTCTTATTTATTACTAAGTAAAATCTAATGTTTCCACAGAAGTAACAAATATGAAGTAACCGGGTCTATATTTGCTGATTATTTCACATAAAAAACTTTTGTTTTTCTTAAAAAAATTACTGAAATAAGTTATCGATCCTATTTATCTTTCAGTAGGCAGGAAGTCAATGTACTAGGAGTCTGTGTGACCTGAATCAAAAATCAATCAGTAAAGGCAGATCACTTAATGTGTAATTCAACCAACCAATCATCTGGACACAATCGCTTGTGCACTTTCTAGAATGTATTTAAAAAAGTTAATTCATTCATATACACCAACCAGTTCGTGTAAACATATCCACACATTAATATAGTTTCATATGTTAGGATGTAGTAATATAACTAACTATCTAGACAGAAAAATAAAGTTCCTTTTCTGAAAATCATTTCAACCTTATTCTGTGCTAGTCTTATCAACAACATATTCAATTTCACTCTCTTTCAGCTTACATGATTGGTCAATTCTAAACATCCCTACATAAAAAGGAGTAATGCAGTAATGCAATGAAATGTGTTCATATTTTTAACTAACCACCATCCATATTTGTTTATTGAACAACAAAAAAACGATTGTAAAATTCAAAAAAGCTTTCGAATAGTTTTCATTCTAGTAGAGAGATTTCTTTGATTTGCACCATTACTGTTCATGTTTTAATATTATTGATTGCAATTATTATAACAATCATCTTAATATCAACTAAACACATTGATGGCACTTGAACCAGTAGTAATTAGTCTTCGTAGACCGACATCAGATAAATCTTGGGGATTTGTATTACAAGGTGGTGTTGATCAAGGTTTGCCAGTATTTGTTCATAAAGTAAGTTAGTTTGTACTTTTATGCTTTGAATATAATGCATGCACTTTATTTAATTGTTGTTGTTAGATAATTGGAGGTAATCTGTAAAAAAACAACAGATCTTAAGCTGACTCATAATAAATATCACTCCTGAAGGAGTGGGTTCGAAAGCACATCACCTAGTTTTTAAATCAGTAACTCTAACAATGAGCTATTTGGCTTTTGTGTGATATTTTGCAGGTTTAAGACGTTATTTGACTGTATGGCAATCAAGTTCAATTAAATTCATTTTAACTAGGTACTGTTTAAAAACTCTAATTTGCCTTATTAGTTAGACATGAATATAACCTAATCACTGAAAGTCGTTTACTTAACTAACATTTAGATGTCTCTTACTGATCACATATAAAAGAAAAGTTCCAAAAATGTCAATAGCAGTATTGATCGGTACACATTCGAATTATCAAATATTTTTTCAGTTAGGACTAAAATTAGACATTAGTATTTGGCTATAAATTGTTCTAAAAACGAAGTCAATGTTTTCTAATTAATAGCCCCTTGAAGTTTACTTGATGGATAAAATTTATTCGGTTAAATGCTTCACGTACAATGAAGACGGAACACTGTGAACTTAGCCAAAATGTTATGTACTGTTGAATTGAAAATTATAAATTCATTATATGCCAATGTCACTGAAACTAATATATTGATGTAAATGCACCGAGACAAAAATCACACGTTTCTTTATATGAACAAGTTTTGATTAATGATTGACATCAGTTGAGGAAACAATTGGCTCTAAGCAGCAATGAACAGATACTCCATTTTAAACAGTGTACAGATATCACTCCCACCAGAAATTCAACCCGGAACAGTTAGATTTCATAATGATATTACCTTTGAACTACTGTCTTAGAATGTGGTTGCCTACATTTTCATCTACAATCAGTTTGTGAATTAATGCAACTGTCATACAATAATCATTACCTCTCTACATGGACTAGAAAGAAGCAGCTATCGCGTTCTCCTTAGTTATCTATAGCTTAACAGATGATAACAACCTATAATTTAATCCATAATCACATTGTACCAATCTCCATAGCCTAATCAGCTAAACTATACTGATTTTGTTATGCTTCATAAAGTCAGTAAGATACATGAATCGAATAGAGTTAGATGTTTACTACAAAGAAAACGAAACATGCATATACTGTGTGAACAGTGAATGATGCTGTTTTAAGCGAGACTAATATAATGTAATGTAAATATTAAACAAAATTACAATTTGTAGATTTTTCTATAGTTTGATTTACTTTCAGTTTATACTGTAGTGAAGGAGAACACAGGTGAGGGCAACCGAATTGTAATTAACGAAAATTACAGAGTTACTCGGTAAAATAGGAAAACCATATCGTAAATCGTTAATTTGCAAATCATCAATCCATCATCAATCCATTGTCTGACATTTCATTATTCATGCGTTCCATACAAATTCCATTGTGTTCCCACTCTTCCTTTCTTCTTGATCTTCCCCCATCTTCTGCTGCCAGACATTACGTTTACACTCGTGTCAAATACTACTTATAAGTAGCGCGCACCACAATACTATAATATGAATAAATATACACTATAAATGAATTATTAAACTACATTAGTTTGTTAAGAAAACAAATTTTTCCGAAAAATTATTTCCTAGTCTTCATTAAGTATTAGTTTAGCTACATCTCGTTTTTTTTAATTTGTATGTCATTTAATTTTAAGGAATTGTATATAGGGAATATGATTGTTTAACTTCCAATAAATATAACAGGTTAGAAAAAAGCTTCGGTGATGTTGTCGATTTATATAACTTACTTACTTACTTACGCCTGTTAACCTTAATAGAGCATAGGCTGCCGACCAGCATTCTCCAACTAACTCTATCCTGAACCTTTCTTTCCAGTTCTACCTAGTTGCTAGTCATTTTTTTCATGTCTGTCTGCAATTATCGGCACAAAGTGTTCCTTGGTCTACCACATATCTTTTGGCCTTGTCTATCCTACATTAAGACTTACCTAGTGATACAGTTGGGTGGTTTCTGATACGTGTCCTATCCACCTCCAATGGTTTTTCCTGATTTCTTCCTCACTTGGAATCTGGTTTGTTCTCCCACACAGTAGGTTGTTGTTGATCGTGTCCATTTATTGTCTCGTTAGAGCAAGTTCTTTCAAAAGCAATTTTGATTAGAATCCATCTACAGATTAGTTATTCTTGTTAATTTACTTTAATTTAAGAAAATCTTTTTTTTAAATCAATAATTTTGAAATCATGTTCATTTCATTATGTGCTTTATTGAATGACTGACAAAAATGAAGTATAAGTTAAAGGTTGACTTACACATATTGACCTTAAACAGTTTACAAGATTCTTTCTACTATATACATTTGTATAGTGATAGATATTTACAATAAAATTAAACATTTTTAACTTCTAATAAACTGTTAAAAGTTCAATATACATTGCATACATTTTTAATGAGCTACCATATTTTATGAGTTTTTCCTTTACATCTTATGCAGTCACATTGTTTATTCTGTAAATACATTATTTGAAATGAATTTCTGAATAATAATCAACTTATTATCAAGTAGCCGATAATGATCTGTCCTTTCTTTAATTAAAACAAATACCAAATAAAGTTCTGATAAAAGTTACAAAGTTCATAATTACAATAAGTAAACTTTATCAATAGTAGAAAACAATTAATTAAGCAATGAATAACTCTATAAGATCACTGTTTAAAAAAAAGATTATATCGAGGTAGTTAGGACATGTATTACGAATTCCCTAACATCGACTACCTTGACGAGCGTTGATGCCTGGTGTTGGGGTAAACCGGAAGAAAGCTAGGGGTGGCCAAACCAAAACATAGCACAAGTCTTTGAAGTTACTGACAACTGGACTGAGTCATATTAGTCGGTGTAGACTACTAGGTTGGGTTCCGCGAGGCGATAGTAACGAATGGTTAGAGACTTTGCGTGACATTGCTCAGAATGGTTTGCGATCACGAAGATGCATCCATTCTTCGTCTTTTCTGAAATTCTAGTCTTTTGAATTCCTTATCATCTTTATCTTTCTCTTGAATAATTTCTCCGAACCCCTCTACTACTATGGGATTTAAATTGACAATTCGATATCTATGTGATAACGTGGTATGACAACTTGAATTGACGTATGTACGTACGAAGTTCTACATTGTAGCTGACTGACCGACTGATAAGATTATAATATCAAAGAAAATATTCTATTGTTTAAAATGACTTGAGGTTTGAATGATTATCACAGACAATGATTGGAGACGTTGGTTGACATGATTTGTTATTGGTTATGATGAAACAGATACAATCATTCTTAATCTTTCCTTAGATCCTAACATTAAAAATTGTGTGATATTTTTCTAATCCTTCAGTTTATTGGCAGCAGTCTAATCATAAATTTCTCTCGTTTCTTACGAGTAGCCTTTCGAATAAAAAAATTGAACTCTGTTATTGTTCAGGTAAATTTACTAAAACCAACATGGCTTAAATGCGACATTAAATGTTGTAAGAGTTAAAGTAGCCTTGAATGTTCGTGAATAAAGATGAATGTGTAATTTTCTATGTTTCTGTTTCGAATATTGATAAATGAACGAAAGAGATGGATTTTTACGATGTCACTTATTCTGTGCTAAAACATCTTTACTGAAATCAGATATATATATATATATATATAGTTGAACAAATCGATTGACGCTCCGTTATTTATCACCCAAAAACTTCTTATTTCTTGTTTATTTAACTATTCAACTTTGTAACTATTTTAATGCTTATTAAACATGAAATCCACTATTCACAATTTATAATACTAACATGTTGAAATTTAGCATGTATATATGATCTGATACATTGGCTATTTTATGCTGTGATAACAAAGGATTTTTAATACTTTAAAGTCTAATATAAAGGTTATTGAAAACAATCGTTCTCTTAAAAAATATTACTGTTCCTAACTACATCAAATGAATGAAATAAACAGTTTTAAATGTACTCAGACCTGATTGTATTTTATAAGAGTGGATTTGACGTTGTTGAGTGTACAAATTATGTAACCTGTAAAATCGATGTTACAGACAAGATCTAATCATTACCACTGTTTACGGGGGAGAGTTGAATAAACATGCATAATATATAACAAAACGAATAAGTGCAAAGTTTTATTTAACCAGATAAGAGGTTTGTTTATTAAGTGTGAAATACCTAACATTTTGTATACGAAATCTAATACTCACGTCACTTGTGCATACCACTTCACTTGTGGGGTTGTGAAGATTGTTAAGTTACACATTTTTGAAACCATGAATCGATCAATGTTAGACCAACATTAGAAACCTGGAAGCACTGGACGGCCGTTTCGTCCTGGTATGGGACTCCTCAGCAGTGTGCATCCACGACTCCTGCACCCCGCAGGATTCGAAACCAGGACCTTCGGTATTGTGCGCGAACGCCCTAACCGTCAGACCACTTGTAACATTAAATTGTATATTTATTTCATGTTTAGGGATTAGTACTTCACAAACTTTATCTGGTTTTAATAGTGAATACTTTTTGCCCACTTTCTATTTATTGGAAATAACATTTTCAAATGATTTGTATTTCTTCTAACACAGTAAAGTTAGTGTAGTTGAAAGGAATTTAATGATAATGTATCTCTATTATGCTGTAAAGCAAAAGTTAACAGATAATTGAGCACTGATATGCAGTATGCAAACGCTTACACTGTTTTGTTACGTCTGCACTACTTACATTTAAGTGTTTCTTTTCGATTACTGTTGACAAAAACCAAAATTATGGTATTCTGAGGTACCCACAGCAACAGTATTACCAAAACTCGGGGATATCATATGACTGACACCTATTTCTATTGGTTGTTTCTTCTTTCTTGAACAGTACTATTTGTATTGTGATGTTCACTTACTTTATTATCTTTTTTTCGTGACAAACTAA